AAAAAAAAGTTAAGTCATTAAGACAACCAATTGGAAATTCTGTAGCCAAGGAAGGAAAGAAGAGACATGGATTGTCTCTTCTTAGTCCAAGACAAAGAATGATTGAGAGACTGGGGTTTAATTAAAAGGGTATAAAGTCTGTCTGTCATACTCTCTGCAAAAAAAAATACCATTGCATAATGAGGGTTTTACTATGTTGGTAGATTATAATTAAAAGAACTATAAGACACCTTCTACCATAAAGGAATATTTAGGGAAGTTCATAGAAAGGAAATAAAAACCATGTCACTAAAACAATTACTACTTCTGGGAACCAATAGCTACAACAAATACAAAAGATCACCTCCTAGAAAGAGAGACACTGAAAGGAGTGTTTGCCTCAAGTCCTATTCATGCAGATGTTATGTCCTGATTTGAGCAACAAAAACATAATTTATGGTCCATGCCAAAAGGCAATACAAATTAGCTAATGACACAAAGTAATCATCAGACAATTACTTAGCTATGACATATATGATAGAAACACCAATAAGGAATTCAAAAAATTTTTAATATGTTAAAATTCCTAAGGAAGCAAATAGACAACAGGTAAGCAAAAATTGGCAACACAAAAAGATGGAGATGCTAAAACAATTGAAGAAAGCACTAGAAATAGAAAGCATTGTGATAAAAAACATTTAAAAATTAGAATGTATTTCAAAAATAGGCATAAAGAATTATATACTACTCATGTTTGCACATAAGTCCAAAAATCTCACCATATACAACCTTGAAGCTGGAAAGTCCCACAATATTCCTTTTCCTCTCTCTTGCTTTCCTTCACCACCCCCTTCTTATTGAAAAACCACCTACCCGAGAGACATCATAGCAGCAACTGGCATGTCAGGATAAGCAGCCCATATTCAGAAGACCAGAATGACAGGCACTTCAAGGATGAAACTACTATTACAAATTATCATCTGCAGTGCAGTAGCTTAGTTCACAGGTATCAGCATATACAGTTAGTCAGGGTGAGAATCTTTCCAATTAACTACTAGATTAAAAATTCTTCTGACGATTCTCAGGATCATTGCCTTGCTCATCTTCTACATATAATTGTATGGCTTGACATTGTCGTGTTTCCTAGCTCTTCTCCTTTCTCTCTCTTGATTAGTTAGTTCTTGAGATCTTGCTTTCCTTTTACTTGTATTATATCTTTCTATTTATATTTCTTCTTTTGAGTTCTTATACTAGGGAGACTATATGATATTTACACATGTGTGTCTAGTTTATTTCACTTATGAGTATATGTTCAAGTGG